GGAAGAGAGAGGTAATTCCGCCATGAAAATAGGGTCGACGGCTCGGCTCCACTTCGCACGATTACGTGGTCCTTCGATCGTGGCACCCTCGATCGAGCCTCTATCAACGAGGCGTCCGCTCTTTTCGCGAGAAATGCTCTTTTTTCGTCGAGGGAATGCGTCACGCGAACGTCCATAATTAGCTTCCGTAATATATGCGCACTTTTCAACGCAACGTTGCGGTTTCCGTTAAACCTCGACACGAAACGGCTCGTTCTTGTTAATGTATCCGCAGTATATCGATTTCCGCGGCACCCTTTCGCGCACGCCGCCCGACAAACTATACCAGATTATCTGATGAAATGGTTAAATGCCCGGTAATTACTTCATGATATCATTACGTAATGATATGACGCACTTTTCACATTCTGTAATTTGCGCAGCAGAGTAAGAATATAAATTAGACGATTATAAAAACAGTGTCACACATGCGTGATATAAAGTTATAACAGTAACGAGGAATAGAGTAGCTCGATAGAGTATTATTTTTCCATTTTTCCCTCATATATATTTTGAAAAGTAAAATGTAAATCTCTTCTTTAAATTTTCATTTTTGCGAATTTCTGTAAAAATGTTAAACTCGCGTATAGAAGACAAATAAATAAAAGTACAATAACATGTACAATATTGCAATATGTAAATAACATAGAAAAATAAGCAATAAAATTGTCTCTCTCGTATGTGTAATAAAAAACACGACGATACGAGGGAAACAATATAAAATTAATAAAATTTACTTTTCCACACAAAAATAACAGTATAAGAAATAAAAGAAACAAGATATTTTAATACAGTAGATTTTCTCTTATAAAATTTATTTAAGCTCTTTTTTTCTTAAGCTTGTCGTACGTATTTTATCTACCGACTCAACAAAGTCGCGTAGCTTGTACAACTCTTCGTCAATCGCAACGAGATACGAGTGCTTGCCGTTATTTATTTTTCTCTTCCTTTGGCAGAGAAACGTGAAAATTGTCCAAGAGATATCCGATGAAAATCGCGCTTATAAAGTCATGAAAACGAATACGCGCCGCGCGTTGTATTAAATCGCCGTCGCAATTACGTACATCTCTGAGCGAAATTAAAAGAGTTCTCAAAAGCCGCGCGAGACGATTCGCACCGCTTTCTAATCATACCTGCGTTAGTTCTGCGGGGTCCTCTTTCTTTGCGCTTCGAGGTTTGTGACGTTGTGCCCCTCCTTTCTCCCATTATCGTACCTTTTTTAGAGCCGCGTTCTGGTCGGGCTGGTTGGTTCTAAAAATTTAAAAGGACGACTGAATCGTAAAAGAACTTGACTTGACAGAAATTTTTTTTTTACGAGTCGTGGTTCACAACTCATTTGGTTCATCCGATCCCTCGACACCTACGAGACCGGCGAGGTGGATGCAGGCGATGCGAAGACGAGTCTCGGCTTTTATTACAAATGCGCCACGCGGCGCATAAATAACACCTGTCTGCCACGTTCACAATAACTCGTTAAAGCTTGTTAGAGAGAGCGTGTGAGAAACAGAACCGCGTGCCGCGACACGAGGATACGGCGAAGCCAGGCGATCTGGTGCAATCTGTGTGTATCGATTGAATCACGCAATTTCGTTGATACAGCACCTCTGTTCCTTTCTTCGGCGCGAATCGACAGCGGTGAAAGGATTCTATCTCGTTAAGCAGCTAGCAGTCAGTAATGAACAGTGGATAGCCATTTGCAGACATCTATTTAATACGTTTTATTTTTCTGTGGAATTATCAATTTATATACTATATTTCACAACCTATATTATTTATTTCTTCAATTAGTAACATTAAAGTAAATTGAAGAATTACATTCTTTTATCCTTAATTGTGATTAAAATAAGAGAAATACAGTTTTTTTTTCTTCTCATTTTAATCTTTAATATAATTTATTTATGATAAATATGTGTATTACACAAGAAACGATTTGAAATAAAATATGATTATCGGAAATATTTAATTATCATATATCAATTATTTCTTCACTTAATACTGGTAAACATTTCAATAGCATTATAATGCTTTCATGTAAAATCGTATTCGGATAAAATGTTGCGCGGCAATTTTAATGCAATTAATAGAACAGCTTGATGATGATACGCGTAAACAGATTGCATTCCATCGTGAATATCAAAAATGTGTGTTTCATTCTGGAAAACTGATTTAATACTGATTTAATACTTTTCAGTACCAAGCTCGAGTATCTCTTTAAATATTAATATGGTATTTTCGTCGCGATCGATAGAGCGTCTCTCTCTCCGTCTGCACAATATTACATATTTAATAAAATTTTATTCTGCTGGTAGAGAAAAAAATTCTAAAAATAAATGATAAAATAATGCTTGAACTTTTCGCGAGTGTGGCTGTCGTTAAATCATGAAGAAAGAAGAAATAATCTGCCATCATGCGTTCAAAACAAAACGTCAATGACGAGGAAGAGCAGAAAATATTACGAAAGAGGGGAACTTTAATGATCGGAGTTGCCCTAACGATAGAACTATAACAGCAGCGAAAGACTGGCTTTCGCTTTTCTTTATCAGCTCATTATCTTATACAACAGAACTGTCAAACCATCGAGTTTGACTTATTGTTAATCCTTTGCACCATTTCCTTAAATCCCTAAATCTCAATATCTCGTGCAAGGGTCTAATCTTCGCTCTTTCTCTCTCTCTCCCCCTCCCTCTCTCTCTCTCTCTCTCTCTCTCTCTCTCTCTCTCTCTCTCTTTCTCATTGAATTTCTATCGTATCGATCTACTCCATTTTTCGTAATCTCAGTGGCGGTCGTAGATATATATTAAAAATGTGAAAATTATACATATGTCGTATTTTTAACAATCCACCTTCTTAAATTTAACGTACATCTCTCATACTATTACACATTACATATACATAATCAATAATGCAATAACAACCATATAAAATGCAACAATATAAGAATAATGTAGATCACATGCGAATAATACTACAAATAACGAGCAGAATAGTATTCTGAGAGTTATATAAAATGCGGGAGTGAGCAGAAATGTATAATGGAGTACTCGGAATTATACGAATCAGCGCTTTTTATTCGTTAGCTCGGCGTATAATAAGGGAAAACGTAAACGTTTATATTATGATAAATCCAATGTGATGTCAGAGAATGCGCACACGTGTGCCCTCAAACTACTCTCGGCGGGAGCGAATGAGACGTCGAAGAGAGATGACACTTCTCTTAACGTATCTTAAGAAAACACGGCGGATACAAGAAACCCGGCTACGGACACACGGATGAAGGATCCTTCCATAACCGCCCTCTTTCATCACAAGATTTTGTAAATATTTGTCGTAGAATTCGATATAGGTCTTCTTCCCATGGACTGTGTTCTCGATTTTCCGAGGAATTATTTCAAACGGGATCGCTTATCTTATCCGTAATTTTCTACTGTATCCGCTACTCGTGATTATCGATTTTTTCTTTTTTTGCGATTAACATGGACAAGATAACTCGATTAATAATAATTTACTTCCGCTTTATCCCCATATCTGTTTGCAGATATGAGAAAATATTTCCCAATTTGGCTCTAACGCTCAATTTCATTATAAAGATTCGATTGAGTGTATCAAAAAAAAAAAAAAAAAACAACAGTTAACGCACAAAACGAAAGGGTATGCATATATGAAGGAATGGTGCGAATGCTATGGTGCCATCCACCGACAAACCATTGAAACGGTTTATTTTAAATTTTCGTGCATGATCAAATATCGTTGTAACAGATCCACTTCAACAGTTATATTCCAATATTTGATTTGTTCGCTGTTACGGGTTTTTTATATATATAGTGAATATAGAGTCCAGGATGGTTTTATGGATGTTCCTGTATTCTATAAAAGTGGTCGCAAATTGCTTCGCTTTTGCCTCGTATCTTCTTGGAGAGAGTCATGTATACATAAATAAGTTTCAATAGGCAAGATATTGATTAAGGGCGACTTATATCCGCGCGCTATTTTACCACCCACTCGTTGATGAAAATAAAAGTATCCAGTTCCGAGAGGAAGGACTTTTCATCGCAACTGTAAATTCATTTTTCCTGTTTTACAAACTATAACCTGTATAAAGCTTGACATTCTGCGCTTTTCTCCTTAAAAAAGTAGTTTTTTTCTTGAATTCACAAATTGTTGCTAGAATTTCATTATATATTTTGTTTCCATCAATATCCTTGTCAATATTAATTTAATAAAATTACGTAATCAGATTTGATTTAAAAAGATTTAATTTTCCGTTCTAGTTGATAGAACAGTTTTTTTTAATCACTCATATGAATAAACGATGACAAATGTCTTTTTAATTAACGTTTCAGAGACAAGCATTTCATGCTTGTACAACAGAATTAAACTTTTCATTTATAATATTTTTGATACGTTTCTTTCCATAGAATTCGTAATTTCAAATACCAATTTAATCTTTTCCAATAGAGAGAATTGGCAAAAGTCTCTATTCTAAGCGTTTCCAATACAGACGACAAATGCTTTCGTCTTATTTTTTTCGCGTTGCGACGCAGAAAGAGGAAGACGCCATTGATATTATGGTAATAAAAATTTCAAAGACTCGAGATTCCGCGATGATAACGCTAGACAACTTTCTCGCGGTGAACGCCAAGAATCTGCACATCCCGAATTATTTTTACGACGACTAGCAAGAAACTCATGTTTTTTATCTCTGCGTCGGGGGAATGGGAAATGGATGGAATGGAGATGTAAGTAAGTTGGCAATGAGAAAAGTAAGTTTAGCCGGGCATCTATCGGGAATGGAAAAGCAGTCGAAGTATCGAAGTGCGATCTCGCTGCGCACTACGATAACTATATGATATTATTAGCCTTGAGCGAGATGGGGCTCGTGAAATGAAGGGATCGAATAAGCAGTGGTGCGTTACGGCAGAAAGAGGGAGAAAGAGGGAAGAGGAGTGCAAAAAAAAAAAAGAAAAAGAAAAAAACGAAGAGCTATGAAGAATGAGGGGAGACGCGAGGTGCGATGAGAGCGGCGTAAAGATGCGAGGAAGATGCAGGGGAAAAAATGGTGCTTTTCGAGGAGACGCGAGAGTAGTACGGGGTAAATGCTATTTAACTCTCATCGAATCGAAACTTGCCGTCGTATCGCGGGTAACGCGATAGACGTGGGCACCAAAGCATTTATTTGCAAGATGGGAAAAATGGAATTACGATAAAGTAAAATGAAGTTCTAACGATCCTACACTTGGCTTTTGCGCATCTCTCCGTCGACTCGCTGCGGGCGAGGCGAGGCCGCGGGCAACTTTAAAGTGCCCTTGTTAAGTTTTTGTTTCGCGCCGTTTTCTCGCGGCGGCAAGGCGGACGCCAGCTTTTTCCCGCAAATTCGTGCCAAAAATTCGGCGTCTTTGTCGTCGCGTCTGGTGTCGCGGACGCGACGCAACGCGACGCGCCACAAGGAGGATCCACCAGGGAAAGGGATCTCATTGCTATTCAACGATCGTAAGCACGCCTGGCGAAAATCCGTCGGAATGTTTAGCTTAAGAGCAGCTCTGCGGCGAACAACTGCGCCGAAGTATCCTACACCGATCGTATAGATAGATATAGATATAGTATTATATATAAGCTGCTTAAATCTTCTAATTTAACAAGATATTTTCTTTCATTTTTTAGAACATTCCCTTTTTTACATATTGTCCTAGTCTTCTTATTTAATTGTATGTTATTCGCTCGCGAGCGCTTGCAATCAATTTTATCAAAAAATAATTGTCCAAGCACGATTAAAATCGATAAAAAAATCCGTATTTATCCGAAAAGCCAGGAAAGCATTAGCGTTAAACCGGTAAGCTGAAAACTTTAATGCGCAAAGAAAGGTGCATGCAAGCCGCGCTAATCGCAAAAGTAATTATCGACAGGATAAATATCTCGACGCTCGTAACTTGCTTCGCTTTTAGAATATCCAGATGTGCGGGGTCCCCTTTTGTTGGTCCAAGTACTCTTCGGCAGTCATGCCGGTATTCCAGGAAGAAGAGAGACACTTGTATCTTGGTACAGTAACATATGCGGCTGGGTGTTATCATTCCCTCTCAACGATAATATTGCTCTTGCCGCCGCGTGCGTTTCTTCCGTCGGTGCATTTACTTTGGTCTACCCGACGTGTACAATACCAGTCCTCCCCTTTTACCAGAGGAATATAAATGTGGGAACAAATCCCTATAAAAGATGCCACACGAAATCGCCGTCGACAATTCTCGCCATAAGGCGAG